CACTCAGATAATGACTTATTATTTCGACACCGTAACCAATTAGTTCTCTCAAAATGGATGATCAAGTTTACCATAATTTTCTGCTGAAGCGGAGCATGATCAACGGCTGACGAAATAATGTCAAATGATTGAAATCCCTGTTTTCAAAATAACTCGTTATCGTTTCACAATACGTGCAGCATCATTACTAATACATTACCATCCCCATAGGAGATCTTAGCGACGAAAATATATACTGAAAATGTTACGGAGATCAAAGACCAACTCGGATAATGACTAATTATTTCGACACCATAACCAATTAGTTCTCTCAAAATGATCGTTGTCTGACGAAATAATGTCAAATTATTGAAATCCCTGTTTTCAAAATAATTCCTTATCGTTTCAGAATAATAATTGCAACATCATTACCATCCCTATTAGAGATATCAGGAAAGAAGAGGAGCACGATCGATGTCTGACGAAATAATGTCAAATGATTGAAATCCCTGTTTTCAAAATAATTCCATTTCGTCTCACAATAATTATGTGTAACATCATTACCATCCCCATAAGAAATATCACCGACGGAGATTATACTGAAAATGCTACGGAGATCAAAGATCGAACACCCACGTCATATTGTATCTTCATTATTGATATAAACATCATTTGTGTATACAATATACATTTCATCCTGCTTCAGGTAAAATAACAACACTGGTCTTATAATAGCAGAAATAGTAATCGAAGAACTAATTCTTGTTATATCCTCTTCGCTCCTACTGTTATCGAGGTCACACAATCTCTAAACACACTGTCTTTATATCGATCTTACATTAATATATCTCTACAATTTATTGTTTAACACTTTCAAAGTCGCTACAAACTGCAATTACTCCAAATATATCAAAATGTAGCGTTTTAAGATTTAGACCTAGCAATAAACACATTACACTTTTGTAATAATTAGTGCATACATTATGGCTATAACCAGCAACTTGAAGTAATTAGTCCCAAGTGAAAATTAGAGGTTAAAAACCATTGGATTTCGATGTATCCATGAATTAATATGACCTTTTTTTCATGCATAGTACTTTTTTGTTCATTTATGCCATAATACTTTTTTTCCTGCAACAAAAAGAAAAATCTTCTCGAAATGGAACTTTGTGGTGATCTTTGCTTTTCCTTGAGGCCTCCAAAATTACTCGGTTGATGATTTGAAACGGATTAGAAGCGCCTGATTTGCTCTCCTGTTGCTACACTCTTCTTGATAATTAACCGCATTATATGACTGACAACAGTTACTAACCATGCCACGCGCGGCGGGGCTAGCGGTGTACCAATGTTTTGGGACCAACTACCGAGCCTGGTCCAGTACCAACAGTGTCCCTCGACCATCTTGATGAGACCAACTGCTGAGTTTGGTCTGAGACTATCTAAGACTCAAGACAAGGTGCATCCGTCACTCAAGGCCGGTACAAAAATATCAATGCCAAATTAAGAAAATGTTATTGTTCGAATAGACCTGCGGTTCTATCTATCTTATTATTCAACTTTCTCATTTCTTTCAAGTTAAGAATATAAATGAATCTTCCCAATACAGTATTTGGTATTGCATCCAGTAGATACGTTTTTTCGTATACATTTCACTATTTGGCGTAGGAATAATGGATACCAAACTGTCTTTTTTTTCAATAAAATATGCGGTAGGCCTTTGAAAGTTACTGTAAGAATAATACCATATATTGGTTTTATATACTTCTCTTATTAGTGTACGTCTATATAGAACTCAGTAAAGGCATTCGTGCTGTGCGGTCAACAGACCATCGCAAATTCTGTATTCTGTCTGTGACAATGGCACATGAGTTTGTGACCGACTAAGGGGACTGAATAATTGGAACAATTTTTGGAAATCTGACTTCAGAGTCAGAACACACACGGAGAAAATTTCCCTAAATCTTCTACACAAAAACCGCTATTGTTGATATTGAATGCTAATGGTTAAAAGCAAAAAAAGAAAAGAGAAAAGAAATACCGCAAAGTTATTCAACTGTATCATTCTATAGAAGTGTCCTTACTTCTGTGTGCTAACAAACGGACGGATTTTCCTTGAAACTCAAAATCAATTTTGGTGCCTTTGAGAGATCTGTCCAGAAACAAGCTTCACTGTAGCCATACAATTTTCTGGATGTCTATTTCATTGTGACAATGTAATATCACAGCATATTGAAATGTATTCAGTTATTAGAATTCATGACTGTGTACAAGGAGTATCAACGGATTGGCCCGTGTACGATTTTTCCATTTAAATCATTTTTTTTTAAAAACTAACAGTGACACATTAGATACCCAGTGGCAGTGTTAAACATCCATTGAGGCACATGTTGCAATGAAGCCAAACACTGCTGCCATTCATAAAAAAGAACGAGAGAGAAAAGACGAAGGATAGAGTATGAAAAGGCCATTCCAGAATCATGACTGTACTCCGGCGTAAGTCTGGTGTCCTCATACTTATAGCCGATTTCGCGGAAACGCCGGGCGGGCTCAAATCCCTTGAGTGGCCAACACAAAAGCACGCTGAACAGTGAAGGTCTCAATCTAAAACTTGGTCTACGGTAATCGGTTACCATACGAAGGGCATGGACCTATTGCATTTAAGTCAATTGCATATAGGGACTTAATTGTGGCATAGAAGATTATAGTAATTTTTAGCTTAAAATGTTTCAATTTTCAGACACTACATTGCGGTAGCCGCGATACATGACTAAACAAAAACGGAAACTGCTATTATTAATGCGCTTTATCTTTGTGACTTACACGATATAAATTATAGTAACAAATACTCTATAGATTTACTTGTGTTCTAATCAACCTGCGTTTATGATTTGATAGACGTTTAGCTTGGTATTCAACTCTTTAAATATGTTTTGGCGGTTTACCGTTTAATGTCGAGATCGAATTAATTATCACATTTGTAACACTCGTGGTAGAATGTTGGTATGATCGGACAGGTTTGAATTAAACGTAAAACGTTAGAAAGTATAACAGAGTTAAATGGTGATTGAGTATCAATCTATCGACAATTTAGAATTGATTTATTGTTTTGTTTGTGTCACAATCTATATAATATGTAACTTATATATTTTTAATACGTAACTAATTTAGAAAGTATAAAATATAGTTGAATGGTGATTGAGTATCAATCTATCGACAATATAGAAATGATTTATTGTTTTGTTTGTGTCACAATCGATACAATATATAACTTATTTGATTTTAATACGTAACTAATTTTATTGTATGTTTTGATTAATTACTTTCTGCATGCATCAACATTCCGAACGGAGTTTTCAATCTTGAGAAGCAATACAAATAAATACAAAAATATATTTGTCAAACCATCAAACAAAATTGGAATTAAGAAGTATTACGTTGTAAATAAACAAAATATTAATTTATAAAAACAATTAAGACTACTGGACAACTTTCTAAACTAAGTTCTACGAATTGTCTCTAAAAATACAGGACTGTATATTGAGCTTACACTTTTCTTTTCATCGAGAGCGGACTCAAAAAAAGCAAAATCATCTGATATCGTTCGATTAGTTTTTTTTTATTTTGTTTTGTTTTTACATATGAGAAGAAGTTCTCATGTCCTTTTTTGTCGGTCATCTAATTAGGCTTTTAATATTCATAGATATATATGAAAATGAAAGAAGATTAATTTGCCAAAAAATCCAGGAGTCAAAACTTTCCAGTCCATAAACAGGAATGGGATGTTTTATCATGTGGTCATAAGCACGCATACCATGTGATCCAAAACAACTTTTTAAAATGTAGAAAATATGAAGAAAAACCCAATCATGACTTTGGGAAAAGGAGGATCTCTCAGCCAACAGAGGAAGTGCCACTGCCGTTTACTTCCGGTTCATACAGGGTGGGTGAACCAATGTTATTTATTGTTAATTATTGTTTTGTCTGCTGACTATGCTTTCAGGCGAAAGTGAAATATCCTATTTTGTTATTTATTTGTTTCTTATTAATTAATTGAAATGAAGGGTGGATTTTTTTTCTTCATTTGAGTTTCACTTCATAAGAACACTATCGCCTTCAAAAGGAAATTAAACAGGTAAACATTGATAATAAATATGGTCTTTATTATTTCTTTTTCATTATTCAGTCTCGTTGACGGTTGAAACTAGTTTCATGAAGCAGGTCCGTATATACTATGACGCGAATTTTATTGTGAAGATCAAAAAGAAAGACATTCATTTTCAGGGATATAACTCTCTATTTTTGTTGTTGTTTGTCAGTTATTTTTCTCTCTCTCAAAACGTTCACAAACAAATTTTTCTTATTGCTATGATTTCTTTTACTTTATCTTGCAATTCAAAATTAAGTTCCCTTCAAATTTTGACCGATATTTTTATGATTGGATTTTTTTTTCTCGAAAAATAGTTAAACAAAAATCTGCTTTCATTACAGTCAATATTAAAATACATCTTGTATAGTCATTGATAGACAATTATATATTTTTTTTTAATACGGAATTTAACAATTATGCATTGAGCTATTTCCGTTTTAGATATTATATGACAAACGTTTCATGCACGTTATTGCTTAACTAGAAATGGATTATGCCACACACATAACATTTTACCTAACTGTACCACACATCACTTCCAGAAACATGTATATAATAATCATTATACACTTATTTTGCACTTCAGTCAATGGATGGTTGCGATATGAATTAAGTACCTGCATCTGCATTGAGAGTATGAAGATGCGTTCCCTATGGTACATGTATTCATAAAACACTTTAATTTGCCATTTTACATGTTTATTCGTTCAATCACTCAAAAAAATCACCAGAAAATGATCACAACTTACTTGTGTGGATCCCCTAGATGCGTTCACTATGGTACATGAATTCATAAAGCACTTCAATTTGCCATTTTACATGTTTATTCGTTCAATCACTCAAAAAAAATCACGAGAAAATGATCATAACTTACTTGTGTGGATAGCCCAAGCTCTGAACAGGCAGGCGTCCTTGTCCCGACTCCACCCGTGCCTTGCCGCGTGTTTCCACGGGATCTTCACAATCTGCCTTTCCTTGTCAATCCAATGCAATCCCTGAATAGCCTGGGTCTCAATCATCTTCCTGAGCCATTCCCGTAGCCGAAGTCGTTCTGCAGGTCGTACAATTCGACTCGACGACGATGCCGACATCATCGTACACGCGGCACCGCCATGGTACGGGCCGGTTGCCGACGACGTCGGGTGAGTAGCCGCGGAGATCGTCATCTGTGGTGCGTTGAAAGGCTGGCGTGCGGAGCTATTGATCGAGGTGCCGGTGTGAGTGTGTGGCGTTTCGGAGAAGTTTGATGCAGTACGTCGGGACAGATCTGACGGTACATGTGTCATAATCAATCCAGGCATTTCGTTAGGAGTCGCCGGAAAACGATCGGTCCTGCAGTAAACGGAAATATGAAACATAATCCTAAACTATTTCTCAATAAAAACACGTCCAGCTGAGAGTGATAATCGAGCATCAACTTCATACAACTGCCTCGGGGTTAACTGCACTGCAGTCGGGCAGCCCGAATCACTTTCGGCTATCACAAACTTACTCAGTGTTGGTTATCTTTAATGACTCAATCACTATCAGATTATTTCATTACTAATCATCAAACAAATGTCTCTGCCATAGTGGAAAGTTTAGTGGATTATCACTATCAGTGAGACAACGCAATGCGTGATTCAAGTTGTGAGTCAAGCCCATGCAGTCTCGTCACCATCTTCACTTCACAAACGCACGCCCATAGTGTATCTCTTCCTCGATAGATAGACCTCTGGACTTCAACGGTAAACGAAAAGCTTCTACCAGTACAGCCTAGATACCAACTGATGACGTCATGAGCACATCATCGCCACCCACACCCCACTCTCCCACCTAGAACTGTTTAATCCGTGTTGGATATCCTACGACATTCCGAACGAGAAAGTTAACGCAGGGCGCTCATCCAATCGGACATGCAACATTAAAGCAATAATCGTCACGCCTCGCAATAATTCATTGCGAGTTCGAGAGCCTCTTGGCGATTGGCCAAAAGAATGATAGAAGGGACTCCACATGCGCAATGACATGGCTGGTGGGCCGCCATGCACAAGTGAAAGTGAGTTAAATAGGAAAATATGAAACATTTAGAAAGAGAGAGAGAGAGAGAGAGAGATGGAATAAGAGATGATGAGTGTGTAGGCAGTGATATGTGACTAGTGTGTAGGTTTGGGAGAAAAAGAAACGCAGCATTTTTTTAAAGAGAGGTGGAAAAGCTGTGTAAACTTTAAGAGGCCGCCAAGTTCACATACCTGTGGTTAAACTTTAAGAAATCTGAGAAGATTTGGTGAACGCCTATGAAGATTGCGAAACCCAAGCAAAAAATTCTACCTTCTATTTCTTTAATTTAGTCCTGTCCCCTACTTTGACGAAATCATTCCCAATAATTTATCTAATTTCATTGAATTATCTTCTCTTGAAGAGTCTTTAGAATCTCAACCGTGAGTACTATCTAAAATGTGTTTGAGAACATTTATAGCGAAAATATGGAGTCATGCAACTCGACAGATGCATACAATGCGCAAACCTTAGCTATGATTGTTATGATTATCATTATGAATCTGAACATGTAGGATGCATACTTCTTGTATCATATTTCATTAAAGAATCTTTAAGACACCGGATATTATTTTACTGGTCTTAGGTAGGACTGTCTATGTTATCAAGCACAACTAGAATGTTCGTCATTCTTGTGTCATATTTCGGATATCCTCATTAGGATTTTCAGACATTATACGTCAATTTCATCACAATGATGTACTCAACTTACATCCAAGTCAAACTCATGTAATGATACTGCAATAAATACCTTTTCAATTTGAAATACTTAGTATAACTTTTGCAACGCCCCACGAAATAAGCTTTTATCTCTAAGTTATATACTCCCCAAAATTGAATGTATACCAATTCAACAGGTATTTGTCATAAACATGACAAACTCAAACATGATTTTTGATGTTCAAGTGACTAGAGACACTTTTGATTGTAATAGTGTAGGCTAAATTGCAGCAAAACTAAACGTATGTATACTCGTATTATATCATGGTGGGGTTTGAATATGTAGCATTTCATTTCACAAATATCTAACATTAATATTTGTGTATACAGTTTCAACTAAAAAAGTTTGCATATCATTAAATGCTCCTGATTAGAATAAGTATAGAAATGTATTGTAACTAAAGAACAATAAATTGTTATTGTATGACCTAGAAAACATAGTCACAACAGTCAAGTGCTTTAAACGGCAGTGGTATGAGAACACATACACCTGTATTACAACTTAATTCTATATGAGATAAATGGTGACAAGAGTGATAATACATACATAAAATCATTAATATAAAAGAGCATGATGAATATGACGAGGTTTCGAACAAAGCTTCATAATTCAAGATACATCACGCAAACATAGTTTGTTATCAGCAGATGTTTGGTGGCACAAATGACATTTCCTTTGAAGTCGAACCAACCGAACATGACGTGCATTCTTCAGGGAAACCATTTGTTCTAGGAAATACACAAAGACACTACACATAAAGACGAGAAACATAGCAAACTTCTCAAAATGGCGGTCCTTGTGGTTGTGGTTTGCACGTACCTCGTTGTGTTGTATTCCTGCATTTTGCCTCACAGTCACACAGCAAGGAACAAAATACTGTCGTTCTGTCAAGCCACCAAAGCCACCGCGCCTTCCAACCAGGAAAGAAAGTCGTGGATCGAACGGCGCTTTAAAACTCCAAAGAAGGTACACCAGTGAACTGAAGAAATACATCCATCGTGCTCCAAGTTCACATTATTGGTTGGGAAATTAGAAATTAGTAGGATAATATGCTCGAGTAAGGAAATATCTGAGACAAGATTGTGTTTTTGTTGCTGTTCGAGAGTGGACGTCGGAAAAGCAGACGATGTGAACCAAGTTGCCGAGTGGTGACGAAAAGTCTCGAAGGCCGCCGATCTTTACCAATCGCTCATGTTTGGTCAACGAAGAGTCGCCTTTCACTTCGGGGAACCTTCACTATAATTTCAAATATCTAAGTATGAGAAATAGTTTTCATCATGTCACAAATTGTTCGTCAACGAATGTTATTCCATGAGACGACATCGCCGTTTATAATTAGCCCGCTCACAAATTGTTGACGCTCGTTCACTAACAGAAAATCAAGTGCATGAAATATCTTTTGTCCAGAAGAGAAGGTGGCCATATTGTTCATTTCGTTCATCTAAATTGGTCAAACATCTAACGTCGGTAAGTCCAATTTCGGTCCAAGTCCAAGTATTCATTCACTCGCCGAAGGAGCCATGAAAATTATTCGGCGCTCATCGAATCACGTGATCACTCAGTGAACAGCGCTAACAAGGGCAAGACCCAAAGGGCTCCATTTTGAATTCAACATATGAAATGAAAGTGATTAATTCTGAAGCTTTGTTTGAAATATTGAATCGGCAATGCCAATCATATCCAAAGTCAAATAATTGATGAAGACAAGTTGAACTGTTTTATCGCTCGACGGCTAAAGTAACAATCTGCTTGGTTGACGAGAAAGGCGAACAAATTTGTCATCGCTCAAATCATGTCCTATTTCGCGATTGTCAGCTCTAAAATCCTACATTCCGCTTGATTCAAAGAAGTAGAGACCACATGAACACCAAGTCAAGGAAGAAGAGAGGAGAACTATACACGTGTTAGCAGTCCGACGACTGATGAATCACTGAAAAACCAACCATCTGCTTTGTCATGTTCGAGATGACCAAAATCCAAGATGGCCGCTCAATTACGGCGATGACGAATCGGCCGCGAAATCGAAAGAATCACGAGTGTTCATGGCTGCAAAATGCTTCTTTATTCTGCTGGGTGGTGGACAAAAAAATGATTCTCTTTGTTTGATTGGGCTCGAGATTCAAACTTGAAACAGAAAGTGTGTTTGCTAAGATCTCTACCAGTCATGATATATTTGTTTTGTTTCCTTTTCGGGTCCTTATGCCCATGTATGGAACTCAATAGGACAAGGGTGTACTTTCTTTTGTTTTGTTTATGACCATATACATACATATATTACAATATTTCAATTTCACTGCATTACGTAGTAATGTAATTATGTAATAACCAGATCTTCACTTTCCAATACTTGGATGGAACCCAGTATGCATAAATATCTCTAACCACTACTATGGTATAGTGATAGCTGGGAGGTTACTACGCAAATGCCATGTTCTCATTTAAATGAACCCACATTTCTGTATTGAACTAAATGAAAGTGACAAATACCTTGCATACCAAGCATACTTGTAAATATAAGAGTGAATCTAAGAATGTCCCCCTATCTATAAACTTGCATAATTACATTTGCCTTGAACGCACTTATACAAAATGGACTGTGAGCCCCGATATACCTTACAAAAATAATTCTCTAGCTTTTTCAATTCTGGCGGTTTGAAATCAGTTTGCCTTTTGACAAGGGTGCAGTATTACCAAGGAGATTTTTTCTCTTTGCCTCATCAGAGGATTTTTTTAGGTATACATTCAAAGATACAATGATACAAATCAGACTTACATAATCACAAAAGCATCATAATTAGCATAAGAAATAATCGAAGCCAATGAGTTATTATTATTATTATTATGGCTAGTAACACCTTGGTATTACTAATCACAAAGGATAACTTTGAGTTGATTGCGTGAAAAAATTGGGAACAAAAATTATTAGCAATTGATGTAAACAAATATATTACATAATAATTTGAAACTTACAAGTTTATTTGTGACGTCAGCATTCCATCCCCTGGCTGATAGTTATATAACATATCAAAATTATTACAAAGGTCCATGATCCAATATGAATTCAAATCGAATCAAAACTGTTTATTTCAAACAAAATTGTGTAAGATCCCAGGACTAACAATCAATCAATTCCACCAGGTCCTTGCAAGAGCCGCAAAATCTCGCCATCAACTTTCACTGGTATGTAACTCAAATTATTTCGATCCATATTTATACTGAAATAATTAGGTATGCATTATCACCAGTCGTCATTGCATCGTGATGTTCCAATGACCCGGATGGAGCAGAAATCGGCACAATTTTTTTTGTTTTTGTTGTAATGTTGTTGTTGAGAATGTTTTCTCCTCGTGATGTGAGTGAAAAACATGGGAAAAGCTGACAAAATTTCCACAGGTTGATTAAAAGTGCACTCCTTTCATTTTCGAGGGTTTTATTTCACCTTCTTTGGGGAAATACCGGGTAATCTTTATGGAAAGTTGTTGATTTTCTGTTAGACACCCACGCATTTTGCTTGTCTCATGATTTACAACAAAAACAATAATTCATACCGAATCGACCATTTGTAGCCCGTACTTGGTCACATGGCTTGGGAAGTTGCTTGGTCTCTAAAATTAATAAAGTATAAGTTAATAAAAATTGAACATATCAATGTGTTTTATCAATTCGTTCTTGTTCTCACTATAGTGAGGAAAATCCACACGCAAATTTATGCGATTTTCATTCACTACCGTCACTTCGTGAAAATAGGGACGAATTACTGCAAATTTCATCTTGGATAGTGGGGAAAACAGAAGTCATTATCAAGAACTACAAAACTTACACTTTGATTCAGTGGGAAAACTGTCCAGGCCGATTTGAACGTTCGCAAGTATTTGAATTTTTACGAGTGAATTAAGTTGCCTCTTAAATTTGTAGAAGGACAATTACAAACGTACAGCAATCAACTTTAAGTAATATTTCGTTGAAAACCGTTACGCATGTAACCTTTGCGATAAGTATGAGTATAATTCCATTCCGATTGCACTTTTATCGATTTGAATTATTCTGTCCATCCAAAATTCATAAAAATGATGGTTGTTTTCATGGTGCCATTTCAAATTAACAATTTATCTATGCGCCTCACAAACCCAATTTATCATCTAAAAACTAGAAGATTAAATCTTCATTAAAAGGGCCGAGAAGTAACCACTTTTTAATACAACAATGTGAACATGCTGGATCCAATACTAAAGAGGTTGAATCTGACATTTAAAAGTGTTAATCTGCCATTTTGAAAAATTGGTCTCTCTTCCTTTTAGCTTTTAGCATAGTAAACACAATAAATATGTTTTAAAGTGCCTCTTAAATGATTCAACGAAGTACTTTCATTTTTTTAATCAAAGTTTTCTTCTTTACTATTACAAATATGATGATTTATATTTCCTATATTCTACCGTTAATAAATGTATAATGATGTTAGCTGTTCGTTTTAATATGTTGCATAGGTTGTTTTCCCCCGATATTTTAACCTACCTCAAAATCGTAATAATTCAGAGGAATGACTCAATAATATAATAATGAAAAGGGAAGGAAAATTAATATTTGAATGAATGTAAGGCAGATGCGTGTTCCTATAGGCACCTGAACTCTGCATATTTTATTTCTGTTATATATTTTAAGAATTACCCTCGAGTTTACATCTGTACTTTGAATTAAGGCAAAAAGGCATTTGGGATGATCAGTCAAGTCTCACTTTGATTTTCACATTGACAATTTACAAAAGTAATACAATTTCTTAGAAATAATGATGTCTATATTTGTGTCACGTTTTTACCTTTCCCCTGATTAGCCAAGTTTATAATTTCGACGAATATCATCTAGGGCAATAAGCATAAACCTTATGATACTACCTATATTCATAATTATATGGAATATTTTATTTTGGATAAAGCTATTGTAAAGTCTGCACAATAGTCGATGCGCTTTTGGTACTGCATTCACGATTTCTGGTTTTCCTAGAAAGGTTGAGACGATTTTGGATTGTCATTATTACTGTTTTTCCGAGCCGCCATTACCTGACCTAGTTTGCCACTTTATGAAAAAGAATAATAAGAGCAGAAACAAGTTTTCTTTCTCGCCAGGATCAATCTGAAGCCCTTTCCAGAAAGGTATGTACATATTCATTTTGCCACTATGAACAAAATCTTGTCTTAATAATAATAATAATAATAATATTCCGCTTTTACATAGCGCCCAAAACATTGATAAGACGATGTGTCTAAGCGCTTTACAGATATTACCCCGATCATCAGATTCAGTCTTACCCGCACACAATGTATGCACATTCTCCACTCCCAGGTTTTATGTCATCAAATTATCACATTTCATGGGGGAATGGTACAGAATTATTCCTTTATATTTGTATGATTTTTTAATTTAAATGAGAGTTCCTGCAACGACGGGCAAGGAAGTAAAATAACTTCACACCTAATAAAGCCAGTTCAGTTTACAGCATTTCCATTTTATCATTGCCATGTTCATAGAAATAAAGTAGCTACATTTGGCATGACCAAGAAATAACGTAAATAAGATGTGAAATATATATATATCTTTCTTAACAGTTTGTCCATGGACAACCCGGTATTAGAATGTTTTAATTACAAACTTATTCCATGTTTTACGTAATTTACATCCGAACTTAAATTTTCAATTGACATCGGATAAGTACTGCAAACAACAATACACACTGCAATCAAATGAATACAACTGAAAAAGAAATGTTTTGTAAATTTGAGGTTTAAACTATAACAAAAATATTTGGTAATTGAAATGGTTCACACTTTCCAATTTCGTAATCTAATTGTTCAAAATTGTTTAAACATTATTTATTGCAATGTATGTACCATGTATATTGTTTAAAAAAAGGCCGACCGGGTTCATACAAATTATTTGGAGCAGTGTAAATATTTTTGTATCTAGTTCCGGTATACTCTTCTAAAATGCCAAAGTACCCATGCAGAAACATATTAGAATTCGAGGCCTCTCTACTTGGAAAGACAGAAACTTATTAGTCTATACAAAATTATATTTACATAAAGAAAATATGTCTATTTTGTCTGATCAATGCGACAATTCACTGAAATTTAATTGTACCACAGTTAACCCATAGTTGCTCGTGCATACGTGTATTTGCCTAACCTATAATTATCTGACCGTTTCTGCGGGTCTCCGTATTCTTCTTCGCCATTCACCATGAGTAACCAATGGATAGCTTTAAAAAGATTGAATATTATCCTTGTCCTTGCCATTCTATAAACCTAGTGAAGTGAATCGGATGGTCTGTAAATGAATTTTCGTGCAGAAATATTACAAAGATTGCACAGTTTGAATAAGATAAATTCCAGCGAGAAAAATAATAATACTACCCGGCCTACTTTTTGCGACTTTTTTCGCAAGGATAAAGTCTTGAATGTATACGAATATCAAAGTATTGAGTTCTGAAAGGTTAAAAGAGCAATTACTCTTGAACCTAGGAATAATATTCAAAGAAAATAATGAATTATCTATTTACAGTTTTCACTCCCATCCCCAACATTATTATTTTTCTGTAGGAATCATTGAGCTGTATAAAGGCTTACCACGCCTTTAAGCTTAGCTTATGTGGTAATAATTCTCCTTGATTACCTTACGTTAGCAATACAATGTAAGTACTTAATGTTGACGATGAATTAATCAAAGAATTTTTTTATCATCATGATTTATGTTGCAATTAGTTTGTAATTTTGGGAAAAGGCATGAAGAAGACAAAAAATCTAATAATTAAATAGTCAACATAAGCTAGTATGGCATTGATTACACAGACAGTTTGACTGTTTATGGCATGTTAGGAACGGGAAGGCAAACGGTTGTTATATTCAGGTATTTTATTTACCATTTACCTTTGATGGTCAAATCCTGTCCTTTATGTTTACTACCACTAGAGCTGGGACAGAAGGCTTTTTGCCACAGTTGTTAGGTTAACCTTTTCGGTCTGTTAATGGCGTTCCATTGGGTGCATAATCAGTACTTTTTAAATATACTTGCTCAATTGTCCTTTATCTCAATTCATAAGTATTTTCTTTATTGCCAAATAAAATAATAACAATAACAATAATAATAATAATAATAATAATAATAATAACTATCATAATGATAATAATATTTCAGCCCTGTATCTTTCATGTATTTGAGTTATAATAAAGAATAGAAGGGAATAATTTCAAGATTTTTTCTTGTTCCATGAACATAACGACAGGATAAAAATGTAGTCATTTATTTTTGTCAAAGTTATACGGCCACAAGTGAATACCGAAGGCATAAGGTTATTCACTTTAATTTTGTCTTCAATTTCGTAGCAATGTCAAACATTTGTAGACCTTATTGTGCTTAAAATGAACGCAGCCCCAAAGTTGGGCTCTCACATATGCAGCCTCGTATTCCCTGGAACAGGCTTGAATATATTTTATGTACTGGAACAGTTTCACATAAAATCTAAGAGATATAATCTGGTCATCAATA